GCCTGCATCTCTCCCAGCACAGCTGGATGCTCTGTGGGACCAGCAGAGATGATGGAAATTTCCTTCTTGCTGTGAATCCCAGCTCTGACTCCCACAGCTGACAGGCCCCCTTCCTTCTCGGCCCGGGAAGAGTCCCACCACCGAGACCTCAAAGGCGGTTTCAAGTCCTCTCTCCCTCCACGGTGCAAACCACCTTAAATGAATCCAGGACTGACTCAACAAACTTCCTAGACCCACTGGTGGCCGAGATTGGAAGAGGAGGTACCAGCCATGCGTGTCCTGGGCCTGAGCCACCAGGGGGCGCCCGACTCTGACCAAACTTACCTGACTCCAGTCTGGGGCTCAGGAATCTGCCTTCTTTTCAAACCATTCAAGGTGATTCCAATACAGCCCTCTCCTCACCGCCCCCCCCCCCCCCCCCCATCACAGCCAGTCTGCAGGTCAGCTTACTGGGCTGGCCGCCCACCCCTCCCCTCTGTGGTTGGCATCAAAACCCCTGCAGATGAAACCAATTCCCTCCTCATTCCCACCAAACTTCCTTCTTCCTTGGGCTCCCTGGATCATCCCAGGGTTTTGAAGAATTCTCTACCACCATAATCTACCTCATTTGATTCTCACAGCTGAGGAAGGCACCGGGGTAGGGGTTATAATCTCCTTGGCAGAAGAGGAGACCAGGCACACAGAGTGACTGGCCCAAGGGGCCACATGGCAAGTCAGGGGTGGCAGTGGGAGGAGAACCCAAGGCTCCTGATCACCACATCACTCGAGGATCTGCCTGAACTAGGAGCCTACGAGAGACACTCTCTCCCCGCAACCATCTGCCAGGGGCTCCACTGGTTTTAATAGAACCTTGGTAGAAGGTGTTTAACCACAAACAAGTCAAGAGAACCGCTTTCCTGCTCTCCCTGCCATGGACTTGCTGTGTGACCTTGGGCAAGTCTCTTCTCCTCTCTGAGCCTTGGTGTGACGATGGCCTCTGAGTCTCCCGACTGAGACATCCTGTGACCATACAGCTGCTGCTTGAATCATCTCCATCCCCTTAGGGCTTCCAGGGCGCTCAACCAAAATGTAAGAAGGCTTGAGAGAGAGCTAATGACAGTGTTGTTGTGTGCTGTCGAGTCAATTCCGACTCACAGTGACCCTATGGGACAGAATAGAACTGCCCCATAGGGTTTCCCAGTCTGTAATCTTTATAAGAGCACATTGCCAGGTCTTTATTCCTGTGGCCATCTGCTCCTACAAAGATGGGAGCCCCTGGTGGGTTCAAACTGCTGACCTTTCAGTTAACAGCCCAGCAGTAACAATAATAATACACGCCCTCATTTTGCAACTGCTTTCTACTGCTGGGCTTTACGTAGCTTTGCCGTTTAATGTAATCCTCATCACAACCCCAGAGGTAGGTGCATTATTATTCCCATTTGATAGATGAGGAAACTCGGGCTCAGAGAAGTGAAGTGAATGACTGAGCCAGGACTGGAGGCCAAGGTGACCTGACCTCAAAGGACAGGCTTTCGTTAATCATACACTGCTCAGAGAAGCTTCTGGAAGTCTGCTTTAGAAATGCAGGCTCTTCCCTGGAAGGTCTGTGGCCTTTGAGCCTCCCCTCCAAGACTGCCCCTCAAGAGGCACTATGGGAAGTGCAAGAGGGAGGGCCCGGACCACAGGACGCACAGTCCCCCAGCCTCTCCCCTGCCCTCCTGCAGCCAGTCCCTTGTCCTGGTATTGCACAGACTGCAGCATCTTGAACCCTTTCCCCAAACACCAGCCCCAAAGTAGGCCCAGGAGCTCAGGCATCCAAAGGTTTGTCCCAAGCACTGGACTAGACCCCAAAACCTGACCTCAGAGCCAAGACCTGGAGCCATAGCTCTGTCAGCCCTGAGCAGGGCCCCATCCACCCCCCCCCCCACTCCCCAGGAGCCCGCCCAGAGGCCAAGCTGGGGGCCTGGCTGGCTGAGGATGGAGAATCTGCAGGCTTCTCTCTACAGAAATGAAGTCCAAGACTCCAACCATGCCAAGGGGCCCCAGCAGTGCTGGAAACAGCCAGCGTGAAGCTGGAAGAGAAGGGGCCCAAGTATCGAGGAGGAGGGAAAGCTGACCCCATCAGAAGCAGTCTTCCAGTTGCAGAGCTGCCCTGGGAGCCGGCCACACTACTAAAGACCCCAGGGTATAGAGAAGCAGAGGCAGGAAGCAGTGGCTCCTCCAGCTCTGCTTGGATGCCATGGCCACATCCTTCCTAGCGCTCTGTGGGGCCTGGCAGCCCTTCCCGCCATCCTCCTCAGGACGGGGGCACAAACCCTCTCCTCCCCAGCCCCGGCCACCATCCCAGCCCCAGCCTCCATCCCAGCCCCAGCCTCCATCCCAGCCCCAGCCGCCATCCCAGCCCCAGCCGCCATCCCAGCCCCAGCCTCTGTCCCAGCCCCAGCCTCCACCCCAGCCCCAGCTTCCATCCCACGCCCAGCAAGCACAAGGATCCAGAGACCCAGTGTGGTACAAAACATCTTCAAGTGAGGTACATGCAAGTATCGTCTTCTGCCAAGCAAGCCAAACGGATACCCCAAGCACCCAGTGGGAGCCCTAGACCCTCCCTGGAAAATGTTTCTTGACAGGCAGCCTGTCCCCAGCACCTACCCAGGAGTGTGCCCCAGGGACATCTGCCTGGGCCTCCCAGGGCTCCTGGTGCTCCTGCTCCCTGAGCCCGTGGGGGGCCTGGTGGCAAAGCAAACAAGCCAATCACAGGGCATCACAGCAGCTGGGCTCCGCCGGCCTCAGGGGGCCTGCAGGGCGACCCCTGAGCACACTGGGGGCCCTAATGCAACCCATCTCGACTCAGACACACTCAGAAACAAGGTCCATCATAAATGTCCCCTCCCTTCTTCCCACCCATGCCTCTGGCCTCCCAGTCAGTGGCTTCCCAGCCAAAGGCTCCAGTTCCTCAGGTCTCCCGCCTGCCATTGGTCCAGATGGGAAGCTCCAGGGACTGGTGGGAGGTGACAAAATACACACTGAGCTTGTCCATTCCTCGGTTGTCGTCCAGGGCACGTGTAACCAAGGGCAGGTGGGTGTGGGGTCAAGACTGCAAGAGGCAGTGCAGGTCTGCGGGTGTCCCCCTTGCAGCTACAAGGAATCACATCACTCTCTCTGCTTTCCTAGGAGGCCTCGGCCCATCAGCCAGAGCGTTCAAAAAGTAGGGGGGGTGGGGCATAGCAGGAAAGGGAACGGGATTTAATATTAACCTCTTGATTCAGTGACTTCTCCCAAAACACACAAAAGCCCAGGGAGGGGCGAGGGAGTGGATGGGGATGAGGGACAGGCGCAGATCAAGGACCAGGGCTCATTCCCTCAGGGCCTTCCCTGCGATGGGGTGGAGAGCTTCCGGAGGGTTCCAGCACATTCTATTCCTCTTGGTACTGTCCTCCACCTAGCACTGGCGAAATGAGAGGTCTCCTTAAACATCTGTGGTGTGGGTGTGAGCTGGACCCCGGGGCTCGGGTCCAGAGTCCAGTCCTCCTTGGCCACTCTGCCTGGCACTGCAAAAAGAGGGGTCCTGGCGTCCTCAGCAGGAACTCTTGGCTCTGTAGAGACAGCAAGAGGGTCAGGTGAGGGAGGGAGGGCACAGCAGCTGAACCCCAGCCAGGCACAGGCTGCAGGCCTTGGCATTAACCTTCTCTCGGGCAAGATCCCATCGCCCCAGGCCCCCAGGTGGCCTTGCCCCTTGGCTCTGAGGCTCAGTGAGATCAGAGACAAGGCCCTGAGTTATCTGCACAGGCTGTTCTCTTCCATCTTCCCCCACTGTCTTCTGGTTCAGTCCTTCTCATCCTTCAGGTCCTGCAGGAAGTTTTCTCAGATCCCCTACAAAACACGGAACCTACAGAACTCAGCATTCACGTTCAGGGCAACACCTACCAGGCTAATATTGTCATCAATTATTGACATGGACAGAATGAAGATGTGGCAGTCTGCTCCAGTAATGATTTCAGCCTAGGAAACCCTATGGGGCAGTTCTACTCTGTCCTATAGCGTTGCTATGAGTCAGAATCAACTCGACGTCACCCAAGAACAACATTTACATGGATGACAGGATAGGGCAGAAAACCTCCGGTGCGTGGTGGGGGGTGTTCCAGTCCACACTAGGCTGGGCTCATGGGAGGGGTTTTTCGTGAGGAGGAGGGGAAGAGGCAGAAACTGTTAGCATCACCCAGCCCAGACTTAGGCTGTAAGGCTGTAAAGGCAGGTCCTAGCAGCAGAAAGGTCTTCTCTGCCTTGTAGATACTTTACCCTGAGACCAGTGAGGGCCACTTCTCTTCAGCCCAGCCCAGCCCACCTCCTTTTCACAGGGCTGCACCCAGCCCCCCAGCCCCGTTATGGGGAGAACACGGAGCTGGACCCAACAGGCTGGCAGCAGGGTTCAGGAAGAGGGGATGGAAGGGTGGAGTGGGGTCTGGGGGCAGAGGGCCTAAAGACTGAGGTGAGGTGAGACAGAAAGGCCAGGCAGGGAGAAGAGCACCATGCCATCCCAGGAGGACACATCTAGACTTCTGGGGGTTGTGAGGAGGGCGCCAAGAACCATGTTTTAACTACAAGACTTTTACATAATGAGCTGTAAGCTAAGAGGCTCCTCTCACGGAGGTCACTGCGGTTTCTGAAGGCAGGACTGTTGTATGTGCTGTACACCCAGCTCCCAGCAGAGCAGTTGGTCAGTAAATGTTGGTTGAATGAAGGAATAGGTTAATGAATAAATAAATGAGTCAGTGAGTGAAGTCCCAGTGAACTAAGGCCTGAGAAAGCGCAGGTGCTCTGCAAACGTTGAGCTAATAAGAGGGGTGCATAGTGGGAAGAACAGGGTTGATCAGTCAAATCCCAACTCCTGGGTCAGTGCTTCTGTTGGGGGTGTACTTCCAAGAGCCCCCGGATGGATGCCCAGTAGGCAGCGGGCCCCTCTGCCCATCACCCTGGTGCCAAGAACTCACTACAGGCTCCCACCCCATCCTCCCCCGCCTCACCTGGCAGACGAGGGTCAGGTCAGGAGGTGAACGAAGAGGATGGCCAGGCCGATGTTAAGTAGGATCACCATGCAGATGAGGACAGTGTTGGGGACCTGGGAGTGGTAGAGAGAGGCTATGTGAGTGCCCTGGGTCTCTGAGGCACCCCCACCCCCACCCCCCACCCCTGCCCCAGGTCACAAGGCTGGACAGAGGAACAGGAACTGGATGGTCCCTCCTGAGAGCATACCCCATTTGTTCACTGCTGTATCCCCAGCCCTGGACTGCACACCATCAGAGCTGGAAGGGTTTAGGAACAAGTAACCCAGTGCCTCTGGGACCAGAGAGGGGCAGGAACCTGGACAGAACTGGGCCTGGACCCAGGTGCCCCGCCTCTGCTCAAGCAGGTGCACCATCCCCAGCTGCTCCTGGCTCACAACTACCCACTTCTCCAGAAACCTGCTCTCTGCTGATGGGATGCCCAGGACATCTCCTGCCTCAAGGTGGCGCTAACTCTAGGTCTGATTTATGCCCCAGGGTCCCTGTGGGTCTGGTCACAGCTGCTTGTGACTAAGCCCAGGTCCCTGCTGGCATCTTCCCCCTGCTCTATCCTGCTTCCATCAACCCCTCTAGAGGTGCAAGAGGGAACTCGACCTTCCCACCCCTCCTCTGCCACCAGCTTCACCTCTGCCATCAACCTCACCTCTTCCACTTCGATCTCGGGCTCTGCCGCCAGCGCTGCCTCCTTCCGAGGCTTCTTCTTGGCCTTGGTCAGCCCTCGGGCCTCCGTCTTTCGGGCCTTAGCCTTGGGGACGATGGGCTTGGGCTCCAGCTTGGCGGGCGGCTCGGACTCGGGGTCCCGGGGCGTGGGGGCCTGTGCGGGGCCGGGGGCCGGGGACGAGGGTGCCGAGTCGGACCCGGAGACCTCGGGCTCGTCCTCAAAGGACGGTGGCGCAGGCGGCCTGGTACGCACCGCGTAGCTGTGGTAGCCGCGGTAAAGCGCCACCTCGGGCTCCGGCGATGGCGCGGGCGGCGCCTGCAGCGCCTCAATGGCCATGTGCTCGGTGGCTGGGCGTGCCGGGCTGCGGCTGCCCTCGCCCCCCGGTTCGCTGTTCCAGGCGCCCGGACTCAGCAGGCCGTCCTTGGGCGCTCCCGGCCTGGGCCGTTTGGGCTGCGGGGGAGTCCCTGCCGGGGACGGGGGGCCACCCTCGGGCCGCGGGGTCTCGCACTCATGCAGCTGCGGGCTCTCGCGGGGCGGCTTCAGGAGCCCCACGGCGCCGGGACCCCGGTCGGAAGGCTCCAGCAGGCTCTCCGAGTTCTCCAGGATCTCCTGGAGCAGCCGGCGCTTCTGATATTCCGGACCTGCCGGGGAGAGAACACAGGGATGCTGGATTCGAAGCCGGTCCCACCTCTGGGTGATCCTGGGCAAGCCACTTAGCCTCTCTGAGCCTTGTTTATTTACTCCACCACCACTCACATAGCATTGACCAGGTGCCAGACACTCTTCTAAGCAATTCCAAATATTAACTCACCTTTTTAATAACCCTACGAGGTCAATAACTGGAGCCCTGGTGGCACAGTGGTTAAGAGCTCAGCTGCTAACCAGAAGGTCAGCAGTTCTTACCCATCCAGCTGCTCCGCGGGGGAGAGAGCCGGAGACCTGCTCCCCTGTCAACCTACTCCCTTAAAGAGTCCAACCTGGAAAACTCTATGGGGTAGTTCTACTCTGTCACATGGGGTTGCTATGAGTCGAAATCAACTCAAGGGCACCTAACGACAATAACATGCAGTTGATGCTATTATTAACCTCCGTTTTACAGATGAAGAAACTGAGGCTCTGAGGGGTTAAATTACTTGCCCAAAGTCACACAGCTGACCAAGGGCAGAGCCAGGACTAGCACCCAGGCAGGCTGGCTCCAGAGTTTATGCTCTTAACCCCAACACTGGTCTCTTTCTATTCCCTTATCTGTAAAATAGGCCTAATACTATCTGTTTCATAAATACTATGGAAAGGTGAAATGAGAAAATGCACGTAAAATGCTGAGCATAGTGCCTGGCACAAGCATCGTTCCAGCTGTTGCTATGACCAGGCAAAGCCTAGTCAGCCAGCCATGGTCATTCTTCTTGGGACCAGCAAGGGGAGCGCTGTGATGGGACGTGACCGTGTGTAAATCCCACTGAAGCACCCAGGCAAGGTCTGTACTTAACCGTCTTTCATCTATTTATTCCTCCGGTCTCTCTTTGCTGCGGCCAGAATCGTGTTTAGAAAACACAAATCAAATTACCTTAAAAGCTCGTCAGTGCAGAGAACACCAGTCTCCCGCCTCAGGGACTCCCCACAGCTCCATCCAAGTGCAATATCTCCATCAGAGCCAGAGGCTCCCTTACTCTGCGGCATTACCCACCACCCACTGCCTAGTTTACAATCCAGCTTCCCTGCAAGCATTCTGTTCCCACTGTCTGTGCCCTTCCACCTCCAGTCCCCTCCTCTTGATTCACCCATCCTACCCAGCACTGCCTATTGCAGTGGTTCTCAAAGTGTGGTCCCCAGACTAGGGGGCAGCATCACCTGAAAACTTGTTAGAAATGTAGACTCCTAGGCTCCACACTAGACCTACTAAATCTGAAATTCTGGGGGTGGGCCCAGCAATCTGTGTCAAGTTCGAGACCCAATGACCTGGTGAAATACTGTTTAGCCTTCAAGATTCAGCTGCAATGGCCTGTCCTGGGGAAACCTTCTCTTACACCTCCCCTGGCCCGATTGTGCCCCCTAACAGCCCCCACAGCCCCTGTTTTAACCACACAACACTCATCATGCTGTGTGTAATTTAATCTTAATACTGAAACAACAGCCAACGGTCACTGGGAGCTTACTGTGGACTATGCAATGTGCTATGCACCTTACATGCATTTAGTCCATACACCAAAAAATGCAGGCCCCATTCTTACTCGTGTTTTACAGATCAGGAAACTGAGGTTTACAGAGGTTAAATAACTTGTCCAAGGTCCCACCACTGGTAAGCAGTGCAGTCAGGATATGAAGTCACGCTCAGTCTGTATGGCTTATCCCCTGTTATGTTGTCTTTGTGACTCTGTTCCTCTAGATTCTGGATCCCAGCTATGTACGCCTCAGAGCCCAGCACAGTGCCTGACACTGTGGGCAGTACTCAACTAATGCTTGACTGCAACTGTTGAGGAAACCCTGGTGGCGTAGTGGTTAAGAGCTACGGCTGCTAACCAAAAGGTTGGTAGTTCGAATCCACCAGGGGCTCCTTGGAAACTCTATGGGGGTAGTTCTACTCTGTCCTGTAGGGTCGCTATGAGCCAGAATTGACTCGACAGCAGTGGGTTTTGGCAACTGTTGAGAAACTGCAGGAAGCCTTCCTGCCCCCTCATCACCCAGAGACCCTTTCCTCTTCTAAGCCTCACCAGTTCCAACTGTCTTCCCTGCTCTGAGCAGAGAGGACAGCCTGAATGGGGGCCAGTCCACAATTGGGAGCCTCTGATACCTCCATAACAATCTCAGTAACGTGACAGCAGGGACGCGTCTCCCCTACATACAGTCCCCTTGCATTGTACCATCCCATGTATGCACCATTCCCCACAGTTTCTAAAACTCACAAACATCCATGAACCCACTTGGGCATCTCAGCCTTCCAGCAAGCAAAGAAAAGTGCCCACCCATCCTGTCCTAGCTGGCCCTACCTGGCTGGTAGAAGTCTGGAGCCAGCTCCCTGGCCAACATGCGGGCGATGTTGGACTCTTGGTTGGCGGCCTGGGCGGCCTGTTCTGCTGCCTCTGCTTTGGCCCTGGAGTGGCTTGTCCTAAGGAGACAACATGGTGGGGGGCTCAGGATCCCTCCAGAGAACCACCCCTCTGCCCCTCCTCCCCAGCCCACAAAGAGGACACCCTGGATAGAATATTCATCCACTCGGATTGTCAATGAACATTTATTGAGCACTGTGGCCCAAACTGCTGTGCATTCATTCCCCAGACCACCTCTTCTTCTTTCTGGACACACCAACAGACTACATTTCCCAGCCTCCTTTGCAGTTAGATGTGGTCAGGTGACTGAGTTTGGCCAATGCAATGTAGGCGGATGTGTGTATATTATTTCCAGGCCTAGCTCATAAAAACTTCCCCTGCAATCCACCTTCCTTGTAATCCCCCATGGAGCCCTGGTTGCGCTGCGGTTAGGCGTCTGGCTGCTAACCAAAAGGTCAGCAGTTCAAATCCACCAGCTACTCCCTGGAAACCCTATAAGGTAGTTCTACTCTGTACTGTAGGGTCGCTATGAGTTGGAATCGACTTGATGGCAATGGGTTTGGTTTTGGTTTGGTAATCTTCCATGTCCTCTCTTCTCCCCCTCCCCCATTGTTGGTTGAATGCAGAGGCGGCCAGGGCCCTAGAACAGGGTTCTTAACATTTTTTGTTTCATGGACAGATTCTTTGGCAGTCTAGTGAAGCTATGGACCGCTTCTCAGAATAATGTTTTCAAATGCATAAAATAAGTCGGACAATAAAGGAATACAATTATATTGACACACTGTCACCAAAATATGTCAAAGAAAAATCTGTAATGTAATAATGTATATCCTTCTTTATTAAACAAAATACCTAGCAGGTCTACTAACTACCATAATTTTATAAACATAAAGGATATTTCAAGGATCTCTGCAATAATAGTAATGTGACATGAAAATACATGTGATCTCTATTGGTGACAAAGTGACAGATACTGCAGATATATTATGGTAAATTTATTGCCTATTTCCATAACTGAAGAGAATGCTAAATTTCAGTGAGAGATCAGTAAAAATAAAGGCATCATTGTTCCCATCTGTAGGAGACACTTAAGAGGACCGTGGTGGTTCAGTGGTAGAATTTCTGCCTTCCATGTGGGAGACCCGGGTTTGATTCCCAGCCAACGCACCTCATGCACAGCCACCACTGCCCATATGTCAGTGGCGGCTTATGTGTTGCTATGATGCTGAACAGGTTTCAGTGGAGCTTCCAGACTAAGACGGAGTAGGAAGAAAGTCCTGGTGATCTACTTTCAAAAATCAGCCAGTGAAAACCATATGGATCACAATGGTCCAATCTGCAACTTATCATGGGGATGGTGCAGGACTGGGCAGCATTTGGTTCCATTGTGCATGGGGTCGCCATGGGTCAGGGGCTGACTTGGCAGCAGCTAACAACAAGAGTAGACACTTCGGTGCCCTGCCTAGATCCCTTCACTGGGCAAATGACCCTATTCCCCAGCTGCTGTGAGTGCTGGCTGCTGATAGCCCACTGCTACCCCAGAGAACTGCAGCAATGCAAGCCACCTTGTCCCAGAGGTCAAAACACCCACCCACCCGTGCACTCATCCCCACCCAAGCAGCCACAACCAATGGCTGACTGACACTGGGGTACAAAAGGCCAGCCCTTTTGCCCCAAGGGGAACCAACTCTGTGATGCAATTCCTGCTCCAGAGATCCCCATGGGATCAGGCTGAAGCTAACCCTGTTCTTGCTCAGCTCCTTCCCTATCCTGTCCTGCTTCTCTCCCTTCCCTGCCTCCTGAGGGGTGAAGAATTAACTTCACTCAAAGAATTTGGCCTTGATTCCTGGTTCTTGGGTGGTAACCTCTAAACCCTTGGAATTTCCCAAGAGACTGGAGTGTCTTTGTTATACATGGAAGGATCCGTATCACATCTGAGAGTTCATGCTGATGAGATGACTCAGAATGGGGGCTGGCCATGCCAGAAAGATCCACCGCTCGACTGGACTGCTCGGGGGTAGAGGGAGCTGAAGATTGAACTCAATTACATGGCCAATAAGTCAATCAATCAATCATGTCTATGTGATGAAACCCCAATAAAAACTCTGGTGAGCTTCCTAGTTGGTGATAGACATCAATGCACTGGGAGGGTAAGGCATCCCTGGGGACATGGAAGCTCCAGGTTTGGGACCCTCCCAGTTCTCACCCTATGTGTCTCTTCTTTTATATCCGTTTTGCTATGAAACTATTGTAATCGTAAGTTTTCCTGAGTTCTGTGAATCATTCCAGGGAATTCTCAAACCTGAGGGAGTAGTGGAAGCTCTCAAATTTGTAGCCAGCAGGTCAGAAGTATCATAGTCATACTAACTGGTCTTCCTTGTAGACATATGGCTATTATTCTGTCGCTGACAGCATCGTACTTCAGGATAGATCCCGAAATGTTCTTTCTGATGGTGAATGCGATACCGTTCCTCTTTAATTTGTTGTTCTCGACAGAGTAGACCATATGATTATCTCATAAAAAATGGCCAATACCAGTCCATTTCAGCTCACTAATGCTTAGGATATCGATCTTCAAGCTTTCCATTTCATTTCTGATGACTTCCAATTTTCTTTGATTCATACTTTGTACATTCCACATTCTGATTATTAATGGATGTCTGCAGCTGTTTCATCTCATTTCGAGTCATGCCACATCAGCAAATTAAGGTCTTAAAGGCTTTACTCAATTCACGTCATTAAGGTCGACTCTACTTTGAGGAGGCTGCTCTTCCCCAGTTGTATTTTGAGTGCCTTCCAACCTGAAGGGATCATCTTCCAGCACCATATCAGTGTTCCATGGCTATTTGTAAGGTTTTCACTGACTAATTTTATTTTCAGAAGTAGATCACTAGGTCCTCCTTCCTAGTCTGTCTTAGTCTGGAAGCTCCACTGAAAATTATCCACCTGGGTAACCCTGCTGGTATTTGAAATCCCAGTGGCATAGCGTCCAGCATCACAGCAACATGCAAGCCATCACAGTACGACAAACTGAGAAGCTGGACGATATGAAGAAGAACGTGGTACCAGAGTTGGAGGAAGACTCATTAACAACCTGGGACACACAGATGACACCACCTCGCTGAAAAGGAAGAGGACTTGAAGCCCTTACTGATGCAGATCAAACACCACAGCCTTCAGTATGGATGACACCTCAACATAAAGAAAACAAAAATCCTCACAACTGGACCAATAACCAACATCATGATAAACAGAGAAAATACTGAAGTTGTCAAAGATTTCATTTTACTTGGATTCACAATCAACACCCATGGAAGCAGCAGTCAGGAACTTAAACAACGTATTGCATTGGGCAAATATGCTGCAAATGACCTCTTTATAATCTTAAAAGAGTAAAGGTGTCACTTTGATGATGAAAGTACGCCTGACCCAAGTCGTGATATTTTCAATCGCCTCATATGCATGTGAAAGCTGCACGATGAAAAAGGTAGACCGAAGAAGAATTGATGCCTTTGAATTATGGTGTTGGCGAAGAATATTGACTATACCATGGATTGTCAGAAGAATGAACAAACCTATCTTAGAAGAAATACAGCCAGAATGCTTGTTAGAAGCAAGGATGGCAAGACTTTGTCTTGCTTACTTTGAACGTGTTATCAGGAGGTACCAACCCCTAGAGAAAGACAACATGCTTGATGAAGTAGAGGGTCAGCAAAAAAAAAGAGGAAGACCCTCAATGAGATGGATTGACACAGTGGCTGCAACAATGGGCTCAAACATACCTACTGTTATGAGGATGGTGCAGGACCAGGCAATGTTTCATTGCGTTATACGTGGGGTCGCTCTGAGTCGTAACTGACTTGATGGCATCTAACAACAACAGTCAGAAGTATGAGTGTCCTGGGGACTCCTGAGCTTGCAGCTGGTGTCATGAAGAGGTAGAGTGAACCCCCAAATTTGTAGCCAGTTGGTCAGATGTGCAGGTGACGTGGGAGCACCTGAACTTGCATTATGGATGGTGTCTGGAAGTCTGGAGGACTATACCCTTAGCGTGTAAAGTTTGATCCTAACTTGGTTAGGGTGACAAGAACTGATACTGTAACTCCCTCAATAAATCACATGCACAAGAATCTCCATTTCAAGCTCTGCTTCTAGGAAGGTTTTGAGGAACTTACAGAGCCGGCAGGTGACAAAGCAAAGGTTCAAACCAAGGCCTTCTGGGATCTAGACTCTGTACCCCAAACCACAGGTGACTTCCAAGAAATAAGGAGTGGTGAAGGAAGATCTCAAACCCAGAGCTGTCTGATTTCCAAGCCCCTGTCCTCTCCACTATGCCACGCTGCCACAATAATGCTTACTGAATGAAAGGATGATTGAATATGTATGGGCAAGGAGGCAGCATAGAGAACAGTAAGAGTACAGCTTTGGAATCAGCAGCCCTGGATTCCAATTTTGACTCTGCTAGGAGAGGTGAAGGAGCCCTGGTGGAGCAACAGTTAAGCGCCTGGCTGTTAACCGAGCAGCTCCGAGAAAGACTTGATGATCTGCTTCTGTAAAGATTACAGCCTAGAAAACCTTATGGGGCAGTTCTACTCTGTCACGTGGGGTCACTGTGAATCAGAATTGACTCCATGGCACATAACAACTTAACAGTGACAGGGAGAGGTGAGTGAGGAACTCGTCTCAGAGGCAAAATTTAGAGAGATACCAAAAACCTCAGTAATCAAGATAAGTAATATTTTCTAAAATTACAGTTTATTGTGTTTTTGGTGAAGGTTTACACAGCAGAGCAGCTCAGGTTTCCATTCAACAATTTCTACACAAAGTATTCAGTGACATTGGTTGCATTCTTCACAATGCGTGAACATTCTCAGTATTTCCGTTCTGGTTGTTCTGTTTCCATTAATCTAGTTTCCCTGCCCCCTTACATTCTCATCTTTGTTTTAAAGTAATTGTTGAATATTTGTTTGATAAGCAATACTTTAATGCAGTATTTTTAAAAGTAAAAAAAAATCCTTAATGAACAACCTCTGAATAAAATGTTAAAGACGGATTAGAC